AAACACTTAAGACAGCGGAGCTTTTACTAAGATGATTTAATAAAGCTCATTAATGTGGTTAATTTACATAGCTGACCTGAATAGAATACAAAATTCATCTCTCAGCTGCAGTAACATGTCATCAAAATATATTGATGTATTAAATACACTACCAATGTTAAATTTTATTGCTAAATCTAATGAAGCTCGTTAAGACAAAAGACAATACAAAGGGAGAAATATTGGAAAACAGTTTCCATTTATTTTCCTTTGTTTCCAACCCATATAAAGTGCTCAGTCTACTTCATCAGGAAAGTATTAATAGCATTTCCACTGTTATGAGAAAATTTAAAAAAAAACAACACTGAGTTATTTTTGAGATTATAGATCAAAGCTATTAGATCAATCAATATAAAAGCCAATGGGTATTTAAAGCAGGGCTTTAGCTCTCAGTAAACATCCTCTCGGCTCCATCAGCTATATTCACAGTAATGAATCAGCAAGAAAGCATTTGACCCAGCAAAACGCACCCCGTATCGGAATTGTGATTCACGTAATTCTGAGCCTCAGCTCTCACGTCACTTGGATTTTGTTTTGTTTTGTTTTCTCCCGCCATTCTCAGCTCTTTTGCTCTTCATTCACCACACAGCGAGTGGGAATGTCGTACAGTCCACTTGATAAGCATGTGATTTTTTAAAATATATATTACGATCTCTTAGACCTCCTTCAGCTTTATTGGAGAGGAAGGAGAGAGAAATTATATTTTACATTGGATCCCAGTAGTTCCTGAAAGTTGATAACTAGGCCTTGGCTGTGAAGCTTGTAAAATGTGACAATTAAGCTATGAATAGTCATAATAAAATCATTTGGCAATTTTTTTGAGTATTTATTTGAATGCTGACAGGAAATATTCAAAGTATTTTCTGAACACCAATTCCTTTAACCCTCTCAGCAGCCCTACAAGGATTACTGGCCCCCATGGCAGAGATGAGGAATCATAGCCACAGAGGACACCAGTAAAGTCACATGCTTATCAGTGGGAGAGTTGGGACTTAAACTTCAGAACTGGTTGGAGCCTGTGCTCAACTACTATCTAATAATGCTTTTTCAATAGTAGCAATGTTAAAAAAAAAAATAGTGTAATATTATGTCAAATGAAATGAAAGAGCATGGGATTTGGAGCCGGCAATATGGGCTCAAAATAAAGCTGTGTACCAAACTAGCAGAGTGAATTAGAGCAAGTTATTAGGTTATCTGTGACTCAGTTTCCCAATATGTAAGATAAGTTTAATAAAACAAAGCCAGGCAACAGGCTTACCTTCCTCAAGTTCCCTTTGTCACCCATCTGTGGCTCCTTTTCCTCTACCCACCTGTGTCTCCCTAGCCCCCTGGATTCCTTCTTTTCATTCCTGCAAGCAGACCATTGGGAAGCTCAACTCATTACACAGTGAAAACCTGTAAAGTGCTCAGGAAAACCTGTAAATGATAAAGGTTGTGCTTGATATTATGCATGCTAAAAACTAGCTAACCAATGAAGGTGAGATCAGGGAAGAGTCTTAAATAGTGTAGAGAAGCATTGTTTGTAGAACTCGATTTTCTGTGGATTGTTCATTATTGATATTAGTAGGAGTTACCAGAGATAAATAAATAACTTTGGGGATAAACAAAATTAATAGATTATTTCCTTGCAGGACTTTTCAGAGCCTTTACTATGCTAATGCACTATGTGAATCTGCAAGTGAACAATGTAGTATGCAATATTTCTCAAACACATCTAAAAGGGAATCCTTTTTTATTTTCCCAGACTATCTTGCAGGACTAGTATTTAGCAGGAAAAAACTGGGGAAAGTATTGGATACTGGTGACACCAATTAATAAATGTAGGGCTCAATGCTTGGGATTGTTTTTGTGACTTAGGGAGTTGGGCAATGAGACTAGTCCCACACCTCTGATTTCCTTTGTAGAGCTGGAACTTGAGCCTTTTGAGGAAGCTGCAGCCGGGCCCAGATTGTACAACAGAACTAGATTGTTCCTAGAACTCTAGAAGTAAAAGCTGATTCATGGATTTATCTCATCAATTTCCTGGGATGTAGAAACCCTAGTTACTAATCCTTAGGCTATTAGAGGCAGTGTAGAGAAGTCTCCCTTATAGATGTATATGGGTCAGGGACTCAAGAAAGATTTGAGGAAATAATGACACAATTTATGGAAGACTAGAAACGAGTCCAAGAAGAAACACAAAGATTATCTAGAAGTGGTAAGTCCGTGACCAGCCCCTGTGAGTATCTACCCACCCTGATCTTAATCTGAAGATGTTAACTGGGCAGCCATGTATGGTTGAACAGGTTGTGTATTGCATAACTCCAGGGGTGCACATATTTCAAGAGTGATGACTGTAGAATGTTGGCTATGACCTGTGCTGGTGGTTCGCCATGTGTAACCTCCCTGGTTATACGCAGTGGTCCTAGGCATTAACCTCAGTGACTAAATAAACTAACTGCAAATGTGTTCTTGCAAAGTATAATTTTTGTCTGTCAAGCTGTAGCCGGATTGTCCATTAAGCAGAATTCTTATACATAGGGCATAAAGTCAAACAGGCCACCCAAGCAGCTAAAAACATGCAAAACATGAATTCAAAATACCATAAAGATATGATTTGGGTAATTCTGAATTTTTAAATTAAACCTCTATATTTCTTTTAGAACATTTCAGGAAGTTCCCTATATTTCCATGTTTCCAAGACAATCTCTTCTCTTAGTATTTTCCTCTACATGACTAACTAAACCCACTAAAATTCACTTGCCAAATCCCTGCCAAAACATGCCAATGGAGTATAAATCTTTGTTCAAGTTTCAGGATTACATTATATCTGAGTATTTGTGCCACTGAGGCCTAAATTTCACACAGAATCTGGGTCCATCACTCACCTCAGCCACTAGATTCTTTAGTTGAGAGCCCTGGATGAAGTTTTCAGACTTCTGTGCCTCAGTTTCTCTACTTGTAAAATGAAGATAAAGAAAGTGACCTCCCAAATTGAGTATGAGTATAAAGTGATAAATTACTGTAAAGTGCTTTTCAAAAGAAAGTGTGCAATGAATGCTTAATAATAATCTTTCCAATATTGAAGACATGCAGATAAATTAAACAGCCCTTTTTGTCTCCTCTGAGAACAATGATAGAATCTGTATCTGGGTATTAGTCAGCCTAATTAGGACAATAAGTACTTAGTAGTTGATTCAGTATGAAAAAAATGTGTTCTAATTGCCCATTTGGTAAAATTTACATTTTTCTAAAAGTTTGGGGATCTTTTGTTTTGCTATTTTCAATATGAAAATGTCCTTTAAAAGGAAGATATTGACTTCTAACCAAAAGCCAATTTCCTCATTATATTTAAATGTGAACTCTTGAGAACAGAGGATTTTATAAAGTGTGGTCCAAATTATTAGCTCAGTGAATTATATAACTCAAAGTATATATAAGGCAGAGTTATAAATGCTTAATTATGTTAAAAATAGCTTTAAGATTAAAATAGATTAAAAATATCATCTGTGCTTCTTAGTCAAGGATGCAGCAAATTGAGAACTTTTAAAATTTCTTTTGGAACACGATGGTTCATGTGTGATGAAAGCTTATGAAGGAGGTCTTTGTCTTTGCGGCAGAGCTTGCGGTTTTGAAAGCTGAGAGTCTGCTTTTTGCCCAAGTGTTGCATGTATGTGGAGAGTTTTCTATTCGTTGATCAGGAATTTTTCCTGTCAATATATACAAATGTTTGTTACTATAAATAAACATACCTTAAATGATTCTACACAACTCTGAATTTTTAAATGTTATTTGACACCAAAGCCAATATTTAAACTTCTAAAGTGGAACAGTCTCAGCCCAGTTTCTGGTGCAGGAAGGATTTCTGGCTGCTGAGGTTCAGTGACTTGGTGTATGGGATTTTTGTGTGTGGAGGAGAGCATGGGGAGGCGGGNTCACCCATGATCTCACCAAAATCTTTTTTGTAGTCAAACCTACCCGCTTCTGAACCTTTTGAAAAAGAGGTTATTCCCATTCCATTGAAGACCCTTTCTAGGGCTCTGGGCTGCTCATTGAACCTCAATGAAACAATAAAATCCCAACTCTGCAATAGCACATACTGTCAGGTGGCCCCAAAGCTGCACTCTTAATTGGCGGTTTGGACGCTTTCCTGGTTTTCACACATGTGGTTCTAATGACCCTTGGAAGCCCCTTAGGAAGTGCTACTCCAGCTTTGATGATTGCCCTTGTGTTTCAAACACAATTTCGTACTCATCCTGCCATATTTCAGTCTTTCCAAATTTTATTCATTTATTTAACAAATATTTATCATCAGCCCCATGTGTCAGGTACCGTAATAGGCATTTGAAACATACCTATAAACAGAACAGGAAAAAAAAATACCAAAAAAAACCACTTGCCCATGGGGTACTTACAGTCTAGTGAAGGAAACAGACAACAAACAATAAACATGAAGTAGGCTGTATATTATGACAAAAGGTGGGGGTGCTATGGACAAGGAAGGAAAAGTAGAGCAAGGTGAGTACATCTCTTTCCGTCCGTTCACCACTGAACCCCTATCCAGCTTGACCCTTAATTCAGAAGACGGGCAGGAGATAATAGATGGGAAAATCCTTCAAGTAATTCAGCAGAAGGACAAGCATGCTAGCCACCGCTAGCGTTTCAGGTTTATCGGATTGGGGGGGGGAATGTAACGTGTGATGCACAGTCTGACAACGTGTGAAAATCCTTGCTGAAATTTTAAGGAACCATGAACTTCCAGAGGGTTAAAATCTTTTCTGGCTTTATAAAAGACAAGCATTGTGCTTTTTGTCTGTTTCCTTGCCTTCAAATAAGGGTCTAGAATCTAGATGAATAGTAAGATTTCTTCCAGCCCTAGGATCCATGATCGTAATCTCACCATAATCGCCTCAGGACTGGACTGCTTTGCAAAATAAAATAATTACATGTGTAAGTGACCAGACTTGTTGGGGAGGCTGGTGATCTGATGGATTGGGGACACAGAGAGGGAGTGTGCGGGTATCAGCCTGGGAGATCCAAGGGTACAGGCAAAGATGTAGCAAAAATTAGAGTGAGTGGAAAAAGAACAATTCTCATTTTGTTTTGCTGTAGGAGAAAGAGACCTGCTAACAGAGTTCAAGATTGTAATGACTCAGAGAATATTTAAATATAGTTCTTTCTTTCTTTTTTTATTAAGACTTTTAAATGCAGAGATTTATAAAGCTTTGAGATTTTAAAGGTTTGAGATGTTAGAGAAAGAACACAGTGACATGAGACCAAAATGATGTAAGGTGATGACATCAGCATGAGGACGCTGTTGCTAAGGTGAGCCTGTTTTTCTCTCTGATCCAGATGGAAGGCTAAATAATTGCCCATTTCTGGTAAGGAATACATCCATGACACAATCCCTTTTCTGTGACAGATAAAACAAAGCCAGATGCTTTCTCTTTGCACAAATTATTTTAAAAATAAAGATAAAGGTTTTATCATAAAACATAGCACATGTTCTTGGAAGAAAATTCAGAACGTTTTATATACATTTGAAATCTTAGTTTATTAAAAATATATAGAGATCTAAACAGATATGAGAATGAGATAGTTTGGTGAAACAACCAGAATAGAGGAATATTTTGAATTTAGAGAAAAGGGAGATAGGGAAATATCTAGAATTGAAAAGAAAAATCTGTCACCATATGATTGTTGACAGAGGAAAGGCGGTGTGGGGAGTCCTGGGTTTGAAGACCGAAAGATAGAAGCAGTTGTTTTATGACTGTTGACTGATCCGAACTGAATAATGGATTACGCCATTAGTACAGAGAGAAGAGGGCACAGCCGAGAAATACTATTAAAGAAACAAGGGGTGGAACTTAGCAGCAGATTGGAGGCCAGAGCAGCTGAACACAGAAGTCCCACCCACGTGAACGTCTTCCGAGTTCTCCCTGGACTTCGCCTCTGCTGCTTGAAACATGCTCCGGCAGTGTTCCCAGGACACACTGCCTCACCTCTGCAAATCTCTGCTCAGAGGGTTCTTTTGCGAGGAGTCCTGTTCTGCCAGTACAATGTAAGCTGCACGTATTCCCTCCAACTCCACCTCAGGTTGTCTGATCCCCCTAACTGTGTCCCTCTTTTCCTCTCCCTTTTTTTCCTTCAAAATTACTGTGTATTTTTGTTGTTGTTCTTCTATTTAAAGCCAGTGTTGTATAGTGGTAAAGGAAAGGGACTCTGACGCCAGCCTGCCTGGGCAAATGGGCACTACCACTGGCTAGCTAGCTGCTGTGTGGCCCCAGAAAGTTTACTCAATTGTTCGGGTAACTTTGCTTATCCCTAAGATTGGGATAATAAGAGCATGTATTTCACAGTGTTGTACTCAACACATAGGAATTGCTATATAAATGTTAAATAAATTATCTCTCCCCTTCACCTCCAGGACTATGGAATCTCCCAAGAAGCGTTGTCATGAGTGGCATTTGGTGGAAGGAAGAGTAACACAGTTTTCAGAAATTGATGTTTTCATTGGAACATAGAATTTCAGCGGGGTTAAGATTAGGAGGGTACCGGTAGTTATACCCATAGGTTACTATACAGCCGCTAGGGGCCCTCTGCTGGTCAGAAAAGCCTGGGCAAATGGCCTCTCAGATTTGACTGAGAAGGAAGGCAGTGAAGGTCTGGTCCAGCCAAGATATCCTGGAGCCACAGGACTTCTGGGTAACTGTGGTTCCAAGAAATGAATAGAAAGGACCATTGAAACCTGGTAGATGCCTCACAAGTTTTGGCGAAGCTGAGGACTTTGATAAAGTAGGAATATATGGCATCAGATAAAAGATGTTGAGCTGAATGAGGTAAGCAAATATGGACATGGCCCAAAGAACAGGAAAGAAAAAAAAAAAACACCATATTTATCTGGGCCGGTGCTTCCCAAAATGCGTCCCCCAGAACAACATACTATTAATAGTTAGATGCTTTTTTTCAACTAAAAAGGTCTATGGTAAAATAAATCCTTAAACATGGCAAACTATATACCTCTTTTTGGAGATTCACAAAGCGCAACTCCAAAATAAAAGCTCTGTGAAGTCCTTTGGCAAGAGCACATGTTTAATTGGTTATTCCAACATTTCCCAAGCTTATCTGGTTGTGGAGCCTTTTCCTCAGGAAAATTTTGAGACTAATGTCCATAGATCTTGCATTTACGATCACTGCATAATTCTTCAAGCTCATCCAGGTCAGGTCTGTGCCTCACCCATCTTTATACCTTTTATGTCTCAGTTGGGATCGATATATAGCAAGTATTTGATAAATACTAATCAGATGAGTGGCAAAGTGGGTCCAGGTAGGGTGGCAATCCTGGGAGAAACAAAAAGAGTTGGAGATGGGAATGAGATCATCGCAAAGAGTTTCATCAAGGAATGCTACATCATAGTAAAGCAAAATGAGTTGCATTTATTGTTTAAATGCAAGCTTATAATCGAAGCTGCACTTATCATATGCACACGCCATGCTTTATTTCCCACATCTAGTTCACACTGTCACTCGGTAATAACAGTGTCTTTTCTAGTCAATGAGCTCACATATTCCCACTGTCACAGAGGCTCACCCATGATCTCACCAAAATCTTTTTTGTAGTCAAACCTACCCGCTTCTGAACCTTTTGAAAAAGAGGTTATTCCCATTCCATTGAAGACCCTTTCTAGGGCTCTGGGCTGCTCATTGAACCTCAATGAAACAATAAAATCCCAACTCTGCAATAGCACATACTGTCAGGTGGCCCCAAAGCTGCACTCTTAATTGGCGGTTTGGACGCTTTCCTGGTTTTCACACATGTGGTTCTAATGACCCTTGGAAGCCCCTTAGGAAGTGCTACTCCAGCTTTGATGATTGCCCTTGTGTTTCAAACACAATTTCGTACTCATCCTGCCATATTTCAGTCTTTCCAAATTTTATTCATTTATTTAACAAATATTTATCATCAGCCCCATGTGTCAGGTACCGTAATAGGCATTTGAAACATACCTATAAACAGAACAGGAAAAAAAAATACCAAAAAAAACCACTTGCCCATGGGGTACTTACAGTCTAGTGGAGGAAACAGACAACAAACAATAAACATGAAGTAGGCTGTATATTATGACAAAAGGTGGGGGTGCTATGGACAAGGAAGGAAAAGTAGAGCAAGGTGAGTACATCTCTTTCCGTCCGTTCACCACTGAACCCCTATCCAGCTTGACCCTTAATTCAGAAGACGGGCAGGAGATAATAGATGGGAAAATCCTTCAAGTAATTCAGCAGAAGGACAAGCATGCTAGCCACCGCTAGTGTTTCAGGTTTATCGGATTCTCTTTTCTGTCAGAAACACTACTTTAATATAAGTAAGTGGAGACAGGGTCTACAAATGCTCACCCTTAATTATGGGACGAGGGTCAAATTACAGAGAACACAACAGAGAGTATGGGGGAAGCATGGTGATCCCTCAGCTATCTTACGAAAACAGTGCGGATGAGCTATAAAAGATATGTGTAGTCTTAATGGGAGGGACATTAGGAAAAAGACTCATTCTTTTCTCTTTGCACTTATTTTCAGAATTCATTTTGGAAGACAAATGATCAATGGCAAGTTCCCCATCTATGAACAGCTGGCAACATTGGCACCCTCTTTGTCTTACCCTGTTCTTCCCTCTTTGGCCCACAAACATCTGAAATTCTAGGCTTCACCCACATCAGACCCATCTCAGAAGCCTGTTTTGAAATGACCTCAGTTTCAGGTCTGGGCATGTTCAATAACCTCTGGCCTGATCTTCTCTCTGCAACTTCAAATGCCCTTGGGCCTCAGAACATGAGGCCTGATGCAACTGCTACACCAGAAGAAACAATGGGACAGTTGAGGTTGACCAACCCGTTGGGATGCTTGCCTTAGCGCCATGATTCCCAGACTGTGCTATGAGTCACACTGGGCGACTATGGTGGACTCACAGGGGTTCCATAGGCTATTTTATATTTCCAGCGGAATCACAGCCATACTCTACATCTGTCAGACACTGTGAAAACTACTAATTCAAGGGGATTCGGTTTCAGAATCACACTACATTCCTTTTGATGATTCCAGGCGTCTTTGCAAAGTTGGATTTTCAGCAGTTGCTAAGATGTAAAGCAAGTACTGTACGGAAAAAAAAAAAAGTACTGCAGGAAATGAGCATGGTGGTTCCAATCTGATTTCAAGTTTTGAGTCTCGTGTGCAGTGCCCAATAGGCATTCACAATCCATTAATAACTAACCAGGATTATTTAAAGTGAAATACAAATACTGGGTTTTTTTCAAACATTTTGTTATTAACTTTTCAAATAGCTACTCAGTTGTTAAAACATAAACACTAAGTTGTTAAGCCCTAATTACTTAATAAATAAAACAATTTGGTATTTCTTTTGGCCAAAGGAACACAGTGAATAAAAATACTAAACATCATGAGCACCAAAAAAAACAAGACATTTTGGAAATCTCTATTTTAGTCCATTACTATTACAACCATTTTGACATAATAGTAATTACTCTTCAGAGAATTCTAGAACCTGAGAATGATGATGATGATGATGATGATAACAGTAGTCGTGACAGAAGTAGCTAAGATATTTTGAGCATTTATTATGTGCCATGTTCTGTGTGAAGGATGTCTTAGCCATTATTTCATTTACATGCTTTATGTAATTTATTTTATTCGATTTTCCTTAACCCAGAAATGTTGGTCCTAATTTTTTCCCAGAGTCTTCTGCCCCTGGACCTATGGAGAAAATGTAAAAGCCAGTTGACCTTTCTTGTGATAAATTCAATTGAGAACAATTTTCTGACAATTATAAAACCAATTTTCTATTGTCTGCTGCATTTTCAATAACCCACACATTAAAAAAATTACCAGTCTCTTCCAAAGTAGGCAAATTTTCCCCAGAATCCTAAATAAAAATCCGTCAACCAAAATTAATTCAGCTGTGTTCCATGCTAGGCACCGTGGAGGAAACAAAAAGACTTGAATGCATGGTCTCTGCCTTCAAGGCACTTCCCATAAGGTTTATACATAAAACACCCAGGGGACAAAGAACAACAGCACATGCTGAAGGATTAAGTGGGGAAATATAGGCTAGAAATATTATGTCCGGAGAGAAATATGCCATACGACTTAATGTGCCATACGACAGGAAGGCTGCCTGCAACTTGCCTTCCTGTCTCATTTCTCTGTTACTGTAAACAACCTCCCCTTCTTTTCTAGCCACCTCTTCTGGAAAGCCAACACTTCCATCTGTTCTAGGACACCTATCCTTTTCCACTTGAAGGAAAACTGTGTTTTTCTGTGGAAATCACCTACATAGTAAACATATCACAGATCAATTTTCTTCTTGCCCATAAGCTTGCTAACTTTGGTATACCCAGTAAAGGAGATGTTCTCATAACTGCATTGTGCCTGTCAAATTTTATATCATATCTTCTTTCCCTTCTCTAGTATAAGTGTGTGTGTGTGTGTGTGTGTGCGCGCGCGCGCGCGCGCGCGTGTGTGTTGTGTGTGTGTGTGTGTGTGTGTGTGTGAAATACATTGTCTCTATGGATTCACTACAAATTTTTTGCTTGAGAATTACTTTTGTCTTTGCCCCTTTATTACTAGTGCCATTTTCAAGTTTATCCATTTAACCATTCAACAACTTTTTAGTAAGTATCTGCTATTATATTATATCACTGCATGTTCTAGGTACTGGGGATAAAGTGATGAGCAAGAAAGACATGGTCACTTCTCTCACTGAGACTAGTGAGGTACATAAACAAGTAAGACATATATACAATAGATTGTGATCACTGCTACAATGAATAAAAAGTCAAGGTGTCAGAGACATCATGGTGGTCAGGGGAGGCTTCCTGGAAGAGGTGGTATGTACATTGAGTATTGCTGGGTGGAAAGATGTAAGATGGGTATAAAAGGAATAAAAGATGTTTCATGCAGAAGGACTCCAAGCTGTGAATTATAAAGGGCATAACACATTCTAGGATTAAAATTGGTTTAGTAATACTGGATGTGAAGTGGGATGGAAGTGAGTTCAAGAGGCGTGGTAAGAAAATATACCAGAGAATTAGTCAAGGGATTTATCTTGAAGATAATGAGGAATCATTTTATGCAGATAATGATTTTATAAGTCTTGTATTTTTAAATACAAACATGGGTCTGGCTGTGGTGTGGTGAATACAGTGAAAAGTGAGGGGCAAGGATGGAGGCAGAGAAGTGAAGAAGAGACAAAAGACGGTGGGACTTGAATTAGGGCCACGGCAGTGCAGTTGGAGAAAATGAGATGGATTCAAGACACAGGAATTTATAAGACTTGGAAGTATTTGAATGTTGGTGGTGAGAGAGAGGTAGGCATCAAAGATGGGGGTTTCCATTCACAGAAATGGGAAACACAAGAGAAGTGTATTTCAATAAGATAAAAAATGATTTTAGTTTGGGGCAAGGTGAAAATGAATTATCGCTGACATAATCAAGTGCATTGGGCCTATAGGTCAAGAGAAAGGGATGGAGTTTTAGATCTTGAATTCATAAACCTGTAGCCAATAACTAACAACTTCTATTGGACAATTCCAAAGGTGTTGTCTTTTGTTTGAACTCCTCTGGCCACCTCCTTTGTTTTGATATAGTTCATCATCTTCTTGACATTTGTTCTATGTTTTGTTTCTCAGCCATTTTTCCTCCTATTTATTACATCATGACTTCAATAAATATTAACTTTCTTTTGAGAGTTTCAAGACTTTCGATATTGAGTTACAGAAAGAAGGAGAAAAAGAAGGAGAAGAAGAAGAAGAGGAGGAGGCGGAGGAGGAGGAGGAGAAGGAGGAGGAAAGAAAAAATAAAAAAAATGAAAAGTCCAGCTTGGATCTGCAGTAAATGTATTGCCATGTCCTATAAAAAGTGCCATAAAGTAAACAACATCCACAAAATTTTGCTACTCAAAGAGTAGTCCATGGACCAGCCGCATCAGCATCACCTGGGAGGTTATCAGCAAAGCAGAATCTCAGTATCCACTCAAGAACTACTGAGATACTACAAGCATTTTAACAAGATCCCTGTAGGATGTGCATGCACATTGAACCTGAGAAGCATTGCTCCAGAGTGCACAGGGCTGTGAGAGAAAACAACAGGTTTTCTCTTGAACTTATTTTGGGGGGTCAGGGAAGAGTTCCTTGAAAAAATGGCCTCTGATTAGGCTACCAAGGTAGGCAGGGGATAGAAAGCATAGAATCTTGTAGGCTATATTGAGAACTTTCATCTCTTCCCTAAGAATAACCCAAAGATGTTTAAAGGTTAGATTAGTCAGCTCAAGCTGCCATAACAAAATGCCATATAGACTGAGTGGCTTAAACAACAGAAATTTATTTCCTCATAGTTCTGGAGCCTAGAAGTCTGACATCAGCTTGCCAGCCCAGTTGGGTTCTGGTGCAGGCTCTCTTCTTGGCTTGCAGATGGCTGCTTTCTTGCTGTGTGTGAGTCCTCACTTGACTGAGAGAGAGAGAAAAGATCTCTCTGACTGATGACTTTTCTTATAAGGGCACGAACCCATCATGAAGGCCCCACCCTCATGACCTAATTACCTCCTGAAGGTCCCATCTTCAAATACCATCACATTGGGTCTTAGGGCTTCAACATATGAATTTTGGGGAACACAATACAGTAGACAGCAAAGGTTTTAAGCAAAGAATTGTGGAATAATTAGAATTCTGTTTTTGAATTATTATTCTGGCTGATGTATAGAAAAGGTATTAAAAGAATCAAGGATAAAAATAGGAGACCGCTAAAAGGCTGTTTCAGTAGTCATGGTGAAAGACACTGATAGATTAAACAAAGCTGCATTGGTAGAAATGGAGCAAAGTAAAACACTTCTAAATATTTAAGTACTAAATATGACAGGCTTTGACAATGGATTTCATATGATGGTTTTGGGAGGAGGGTCAAGAATGACTGCCAAGTTTTTTGACTTGTGCAATTAGATGGGTATGACATCAATTCTTGAGATAGGAATCATGACATCAACAGGTTTGTGCATGGCATTTTGCTAAGCGCAATGAGTAATAGCCATCATTTAGTGGACATTTATCATGGCCAGCCACTGTGTAGATGTTTTATGCACATTATCTTACTATACTACACAAACCTAGCCTTCTGAGATGGGAAGATCAACTCATTGCTAAGGGTATAATGGTCTGGTAAAATGAATAGTTCAGAATGCTTTCCAAGGAGAAGAACATAAGAGAAGACAATATGAAGAGAGAAGCCATCGCAGGAGAAAGGGGATACACGCTGAGACCTAAAGGTTGGGTTAGATTTTGTTAAGTGACGCTCTTGAGAGACAGGACTGGGGATGGTATGTAGGAGCCAGGTCCTGGGGCACTATGCATGACTCCATCAAGAAGTTCACTTAGGGAAACATGGTAGAAGTTGAGTAGAAAGGGAGCGGCCAGATTATAGAGGACCTTGAAAGTCTGTAATTTATATTTAATAGAGAGAAGAATTAAAATATGAAAGGAACATGACTTTACATGACAGAAAAACCTGTCTGGCAACAGAGGAGCTTGAACATGGGGAGGGTTGAGTCACAGAAGCCAACTTATTAGCATTTGTATTATCCAAGTAATAAGTCAGAGCTCTGGACTAGTTAGGAGGAAAGCTCAGCAACTCTGCTTTCATGTCATTGGATGAAAATAGGAGAATGAGCCAAGGACAATTAAAATTTCAGGAATGAAATTCAGAGGATGCTAGTTCCAAAGTCAGAATCAGGGAGGTCAGGAAGATGAGACTCATAAACCTGTGACCATTCACATATGTGCAGTATAATACTGAGGATATTGATATTTTAAAATAATTTTCTAACTGTTTGACCACAGAGATCATTTAAATTTCCAGAAAAGCTATAGTAGACAAAAGCTTGCAAGTTATGATATATGATGGATTTACATGGGGATGAAAAAGAGATTATAAGATTCGAGGGAAAGAAAGCATGGTATTCTACTAAAGAAATAGCCTAAAATCATATGAAACATGGTGGTTTTAAAATAGAACTGGCAAAAATCAAAAGAAACCATTACATCCCACCCCAACTGTAACTTCATTACAGATTTACCGAAAAGATGCTTATAAACAATAGTGCATGGGGTTCAACCTTTCAGATGAATGAGGTTTTGTTCTGCCTCCGTCTAGTCATAAAATCATGACACAATTTTTTTTAATTCAAAATGTTGTATTTTGTGGAAGAAGAATGTATGCTTTTTGTGCTTTCCAAATGCCATGTTTTTGGTTTTTTTTTCAAAGCATGAGAAGTACTGTTGACTGGGAATAAAATAAATTACCTTTACTAATCTTTCCATGTGTCTTGCCCTGCTTTATCTCGAGGAACGTCAGCACCTCTAGAACATGCTTTGTGGAGGGGACCTGACGGTGCCCCTTAGATCATGTGTCATGTTTCTTCAGCAGTAAACACCTTCCTGTATCATTGCTTCGTTAATGACAATATGGGCCAATGTACAGTATTTATCAAATGATACCTAAGGTACCTTAGGATTAAGTTCAGGCACACTTACTCATCTCACGTGTGCCTGCCAAGAACACAAAAGGGTAGTGGATAGATATCAATTTTATTGTTCAGAATTCCCTAATTTAAGTCCCCAGTAGCCTGAAAACTTAGATGAAATAATTAGCTACACTAATTAACCACTGCAATAACAGATGTTATACAAGAAAACTGTGTATGCCAGGGTATGAGCATGTTTTGACTTTGAATATGCACTTGGGCTCACACTTTCTTCCTCACTAATGGAATCATATGTAAATGTTTTTGTAAGATATTCATTTCCATGGCAGACATTGAATTGTTTTTCCTTTAAAAAATATTCCTGCTTCATCAAATGGGATAACGATTTCAGTGTCATGTACAACCTGGATTTCTTTGGCATCTGCAGAGTTTTGTATGTTCCAAAGTCTTTACAGTGCAGCCACAAGCTTTGGGCGGGCTGTCTTCAAGGGTTGTTGGTTTTTTTTTCTCGAGCTACCCCTCTCTCAGCTCTGCCAATTATGTGCCACTTTGTCTTGGTGCTATGATTGCTTTCTTCTGAGAGGGAAATTCCTCTTTCATCAGTATGGATGCACTGTTTTCACACACTGCAAGTGCTGTGTTGCTGTGTCAGTCATCCTATTAGGGCCAGTTTCAGACGAGTAGGGCTGACGAACTGGCTGGCGATTGGCTGCCCGCGGCTGGGAGGGATTTGTCGGAAGGAAGGGCTGCAGCTTTACAGCAACAGAGTTTAGACTGTCTTTGCTTCATCATCTGAAGGCAAAATTTTCCAGATACGGCAGACAGCTCTCAGAGTACAATAAACAGGGGATGAGAACTATTTACATGGAAATTTCTTCCTCATGATGCAGGGCAGAAGCCTCAGCCGCTTGATTGTGCCAGACGTTCCCGGGGTTACTGTACAAGGGAAGGAGAGGCAGAGCTAAACAAGGTAGGAGAATCGCCCTCTTCCTTCTTCTTCTGCTTCTTCTTCGGATTCCTTTTTTTTTTTTTTGAATGTTTAAAGAGTTTGCTGCAGTGTGCTGCATTCCATGTGTGTTGCTTTGGGAAACCAAGGAAACCAGATTCCACTAATTCGAATGTAATACTTGCAGGGGACCCTGGAGTTTTACGTAACATTTTGATTTGAGAAAAAGAAATAGCAAAGCTTGAATCTATGCCGCCTGTGTGGGGGTGCGGCATAAAATGAGTTTTTATTCAAAGAATACATCCATTTATTAGCCAACAAAAATATTTGAATTCCTGAGAGCATTCTTATTTTTCTGTTGTTATAGAAAATTTTCATACAGCCATAGTTAGCTCCTGAATTAATAAAGTTTACGTTGATCCTATTTTTTTGAAAACAGACTTGTAATTATGAAAAAGAAACTTAGTGGTAATTAAGCCTCGATTGAATGTTTAGCCAAAAATGTGTATATTTATAAGAAATGAGGGAACTATCTAGCTCTATAATGCTGCGGCTTTTAGTTTCAAAAGCACATTTTTAACAAGCTAGCAAGAAGTAGCTTTCTGACAAGTTTTCGATACTGTAGTTCAATGTTTACATTTCTTTTCCTGGCATGTCTGAGCCTTTGTTTCCAGCTTAAAAGTGGAACCATTATATTCAAAAGTAAAGCTGGGTTAATAATGCTTACTGCAATTATCTGATCTTTATGCATTTTTAATGAGAACACACAGCCAGCAGAATAATTTAATGAGGGCAGGCTAGCTTTTAAAGCAGTGTTTTCACTATGTCGAACCATATCAACTTTCTTGTCGAGAAGCAGCATTAAGAAATGATGGAGAAGATTTATTTATAACACACTTGGCCCAAGAGAAGGAAAGGATATATTTGTTAAAGAATCCTTTCTGCCCTTTTCCGTTTTAAATTTCTGTGAGGCATGAGGAAACTGTGCTTTTTTGTTAGGCCTCGGAACCATGTGTTTACAATAAATGTGTAACATTTTTAGAATAGTTAGCAAGCATTGAAGCGAAGAAAAAAATCTGCCTTGCCTAACCACCTCCACCGTGAGTGGTTTTCAAGAAACATTACTATCCTTTTAAAAGACAAAGGTTACGTGGGAAGATATTTGTTAATTGAGTAATATGGACATTGGGGGAATAATAAAGTGACAAAGAAAGAGGAAATTCTTATCATCTTTAAATAAGATGAAGTTTCCTCAGCTATCCTGCCTGTTTTGTGAGAAGCAGGGGAAGTATTCATTTCAATAAGGGCAATGCCACGTAGATTCTTCTAGACCCACTGTTTTTACTTTCAAGGAGAAGTGCAGGACACTAGCCCAGAACTTCTGACGTCATCCTCCAACTATTTCTGCTGTGTGTTCTTTTATTCAGGCTCATGGAGAGGAGTATTGCTTTATGTCCTGGCCAGGAACATTCTAACTCTTACTTGGCAGGTCTTGAGTTATGTCTTCATATGTTAGCCTGTCCCTTCTAAACCCTGAACTGATCTCCCGCATAAATAGGACATCTCCTACCTGCCTTGCATCAGGCAGGTCGGAGCAGGTTCTCTGCAGGGTTCTGGCTGCATTGGCAAAAAGCAGCCAGGAGCAGAGGACGGCCCATCTTCCCCTTGGTGCAGCCCAGCACTGCCACCTGGGTGGACAGTCCCTGTGGCCTCATTCCCAGTCCCCCTGAGCCACCATTTAGGACCCAGGTTATGCCACCAAGTTCACGGCTGGTTGTGATGATGGGAGCAGCTGCTTTTAAATAAAGAGCAGCATGTCCTAGTGCAGAAAGGGCCAAAGGAAGGCCAGTCCAATACGACAGGCTGTTAGTCCCATGTCACAGGTGGCAGCCTGGGCCCTAAACATCAGGGGAAGGTTCGTTTTTAATAAGGAGCATTTTAAGAAAGAATTTCTATTAGAACAGAGGCGTGCTCTCAAGAGTTCCTGGTTCTAGTTTGCATCTTTCGAACTGTTTGTGCAGCCTAGAGCAAGTGCCCGCCTGGGTTTTTGTTTGTTTGTTTTCTTTTTTTTTGTCTCTTAGTAGAATTGAACGATACTTGCTACATTGTCTCTCATAATTCTAGCATTTTAAGAGGCCTTGACTTTGTACCAAAAAAAAAAAAGTTGTTTGTCTCTTGGCACAATGAGCTATTTAAAGTACAAAAGGATAAAACCTCATATTAATGAAACTGTTGGCAAACACCTTCGAGTATTAAGACATACAGTCATATATACAAAACCCTTCATTCTACTCTGTGCTCGTGTAAATTTTCTAGGGCTCTTTATCCTTAGACCAACAAATAAAATTTCCAAGGAAATTGGAGCTCTGCAGCTTGCATTTTCTCCATCGATCTAGTGTAATATACTAGAAGCTATGCAAACCAGACTGTTTCAGACATAGGCCTTGTAGCTCCCCAAAGCATTTAGTTATTTTGCTTTGACTTTTGCATTACGTTTGTGGAAGTGGAGTGAAGAGAGAAAGTAAGATGAAAGGAGAAAAATATGCTTGCAAAATATACTGGTTATGTAGCTTTCCTGGTTAAAAGCCTGCCTTCTCTCTGCTAGTTGTTGTAATTTGCTGTTGCTATGGTGAAAACAAATCAATATCACATGGCTACCAGCCAGCCCCGCGTTCTGGGAGCGCCACAGAAATTCAAGATCAGGTACTCAAGATTCCAAGCAAGAACTGCGAGGAGAGGATTTGATACTGAGCTTTGGAGAATTCTTTATGGGTGCCTGCCTAGGCTCAGGAGCGTGCGTTTCCTCTCTCTTCCTTTCTTCCTGCCCTTTCCTACGGATAACCAGAGAAGATAGGAAGGAAGGCATATTGACTTGTTTTATGTTTTCCAAAATGATAAAACATTATCAACATAGAAGTAGGTTGGTAACATTACAAAGGGTAAGGGATTCTGGTTAATGAAAAGGTTGATGTAACTGTAGGGCACGTTGGTTGTTGAAAACGTAGTTTGGAGGCCTTTAATATCTCCGGGTCCAGCTGCACCTGGGAGCTGGCAGTCAGAAAGTGTTACAACTGTCGTGTCAGGCAGCGAAATCTGGTAACTCTAAGGAGCAGGTGGGCAGTGGAGGCCAGGGACATTATGGAAAGTAGGGACGTATTAGCCTCAACATCGACCAAGTCACGGGAAAGCTGTAGGTCCAAGGTCAAGCCAGGTGAGCACTAAATGCCAGGGGCAGAGCAGAACTGGTAAGAGACACTTAGCTCTTTTCATAAAATCTGCCTGAGGGCCCAGCAAGTAAAGTGAGGAAGCAGCTGCAAAGAGAAGTAAAGGTGTCATGTGCACCCCCCCCCCCCAGGCAGCCTTTCCAGAATGGTCGGCTGAACCTGATGGGCATAGATGCCCACTTCTGTGTGGAGCCAAGAACTTGATATTATTTCATGCTTTGGTTTCTCTTTGAAGAACGAAGCAGGAACACTTAGCTGGGCTTTGTAAATTAGTTACAGCACTGTTTTTGGAGTTCGTTTTTTTTTTTTTTTGCTTTTGCTTTTTACTCAGCTCAGTTGTTTTTTGTTTTTTAATGAGAGCTGCAAAGTGTTCATTGCAGCTATGGTAATATTCATAGTAAGGAGTCAGAGGTAGCGTCATGGTGGTGTCACGTCTGGATCCGCAGGATTGTGCCTTCAACTGCTCAGCATTGTTTAGCTGAGGTTACTCCCCCCTCTGTTGCTGAGAGTGAAAAGAGGTGTGAAAGGTAAGTCCCTAGGGTTTCTTTTGTGAACCTGAGCCACAGAGCCAACGGACAAGCTTTCAGCTATCCTGCTCTCCTCAATATGACAGAAATGCTTGGTAATAAAAGTGGACCCGCCGACTTACCTTAGTGCTCTGACAAAGAATGCATTGTCTAGGAGATCCTGGGTCGGTATATTCCATCAATCAGTCAACAAGTGTTTATTAAACACCTCTTGGGTTGTCTGGCTTTTGCTATTTGGTTAGAACAAGTCAATTACCCAATACCTGACTTTGTGTGCAAAATAAAGGACAGAAAGAAATGATGAGAAATTGTAAGTTTCAAAGACTTTAATAATGACTTTATTGACTAATGGTCATTTAACATTGATAACTATCAGACACTAATTGTAGGTTTGAGGCAGTTTTGCTGCTTGGGGGAGAATAAGAGAAGGAATTTTGAGTTTTAAATATCTATATGTACTTTCTTCATTGCTATTATATTTCTCAGCATAAATTGTATTTAAATAACATACAAAGATGTAAAATGAGCAATAGACACATGAGAATGCTACCAAAAAAAACCCCTACAAAAACCCAAAATATAAGGTTGCTGAGAGCAATCACCCAATCTCAGCAAGCTGAGATTCAGCCCCTAAGTGAATGGGGAACATGGATGGGCACATCATCTAAAAAGCCTTAACCATCAGTCAGCAAAAGGAATTCCTAGACCCTCCCTAGCTCTTTGGAGCCTCGGGGTGCCTGGGAAGACACCCAGGCAATTATCTCACCCTCCCCATCCCACCAAGGAAAGCTGACTCTTGATCCTAGAGAATTAAGCATTCTCCCTTTTTTTCTTAAAAGCAGAGCTACTTTCAAAACTCTGTTTCCCTCTTTTAACACACATTTTTGTTTTGTTTTGTTACCCTAACATCAAAATCAGTGTGTGTTCTCTGGGTGTAGACCAGCTGTAAGGTAAGCCCAGTTTGTGGAAAGCTGGGAGAGGAAACTGAGGATGTAACTTCTTTTCAGCTCTGGGTCTTGGCAGGCAGATAGGCAGGTCCTAAGGTATATGAGCATCTATGACAGGCTGATTGCGGTAGAAGAGCTTTGTGGGTGGTAAGCCACTTCAGAGGACCCAGGGAGGAGGCAGGAAACAAGGAAAACACTGCAGGTCCCTGGTCCTAAGCAGCTTGCAATCCACAATCTGCTGGGGAACAAGATACTTACAAACAAGATAAGAATAGGTCAGCACACAAATGTCTTCAGAAGGATAATTAACATATGTATAGTTCCTT